ATTTGCAAGATTTTATATGAAGAATATAGAATCATTGATTGCTTGAGGCCAGTTTATATTTTACTGTGAATGTAAAACTAAGGAGATGTGGTATAATTGCCTTAGAGACAAATATGAGCCCAAATTATCGTGGATGAAAGATGTAAGCAACAGGAAACTTATTTTAAGCAATTTCTTTAAACATTAATATTGGTCAGAATATTTATCTGTATTAAAAACTATACTGTTTTCATTTTCTCGTTTCAGTGTTTTTTAAGCAGTGGCTGTACCTTTCCGGTTACTATTCATGTGTTGTGTATTATGTATCGTAACACTTTATAGTTACAAAAATGTACTGGACAGGTTGAATTTTGGCGACAAAACATCCAAACAGCACCAGATCATTATGATCATTTGCGATTCCAGCTGATTTCAGATAAGTAATAAATGATAAAAGAAAGTTAGAAAGCTCTAGTTCATGTAACCGATTTTATTAGATGATTGATAAATATTGAATACAGAAAAAAGCTTAACAATGATCGTAATACTGAAAATGTAAGTTTTGTGATTGAAATGAAAGTAGATCATGACATGATGTGCCTACGCATGGGAAGTTGCACACAGCAAGTCCGGTGATATTGGCAATATCCAGTACGTATAATTAATATTAAGATTTAAAAGATTTTGCATTGTTATCAAAGTGGTACATGCATGACATGTATTATTGTATGAAGGCAACTGGGGAAAACAGATCTCCTTGTGAAATGAAAACAGATCATGACATGATGTGCATATAGCAAGTCCAGTGGTATTGACAATATCCAGTACGTACAGATGAAAGAGACCAGTACTGATAATCAAAATAAAAATTTAAAAGATTTTGCATTGTTATTTAACCAGTACTGTATTATTGTATGCAGGCAACTAGGGAAGACAGATCTCCTTATGATATCTTATATATTAAATGCCAATATATAGTTTAATTAAAAATGGGGGTTTGTCATAGACACAAAAATATAACGCAGGCTTACAGACTTCATATGAAGCACCTTAATAAAGTGCAGTCACCAATCTGAATAGTAGAGTGTATGTCTATGATATCATTTCAGCAGGCTGTGAGGTTGAGCTCACTTTCAGTAACCCCAAACACTCTTTAATACAATATAATATTGTATATTACTGTTTCGTTTATTTGTATTTTTGTAATTCATCACAATAAAAGTCACCAGTTTTAGATTTATGCGCTTTTCCTATAGATTTTTTATATACCGTAAATAATAAACAAACACCAAATATGTGAATTTTTTTTTAAAAGATAAAAGACTTTTCAATTGAGCGATTAAACTTAAGTCACCTGGTCAAATATATAAAGAAACATATAATGCAAAGATGTCAGCCTTTAAACAAAACGGCCACCGGATTTCACAGAAACAGATGCCAGCATCCAAAGGAAATGCATGACTGTCAGCATTCAATTTATAATGTGTTGAGACAACTTTTACTTACAACTGGGATTCCAGCATCCCTGAGATTAAGGATGAACATCCATTTTTTTTCATGGGATGGCAGCATCCAAAGAGAAATTTGAGTCTGCATGTATATACATGTAATTGGGATGCCAACATCCAAACAAAAGGTATATCAAAGTCTATATATATGTTAGATGCCAGCATCCAAATGATGGTGTGTTCAATATGGAACTTTATAAAGCCATATCAGCATCCTGCAAAGATGAAGATGCTATTTCCATATTTTTATGCCCCCGCCAAAGCGGAGGGAGCATTTAGTTTTACCCTTGTCAGTCTGTACGTACGTACGTCCGTACGTCCAAAATTTGGTTTCCGTTCTCTAACTTAAGTTTGCCTCAAACAAACTTATATACAATGCTTATTACCACAAAACACAGATCAAGTTTGAATTTTGGTGGCGTCACTTTATCCTTTCTAGAGTTATGCCCCTTTATAAATGGAAAAACTTTTCATTTCCGTTCTCTGACTTAAGTTTGCCTCAACCAAATGTTATGAAACTTATGCACAATGCTTATCACCACAATACACAGATTTTGTTTGAATTATGGTGGCGTCACTTTTACTGTTCTAGAATTATGCCCCTTTACAATAGCAGTTTTTCATTTTTTTCAAAAAATATCAATGATGCCATTGTTCAAGTAATTTTTATACGACCGCAAAAAAGTTTTGCTGTCGTATATTGGTATGACGTTGGCGTCGTCGTCGTCATCTTCGTCGTCGTCCGAAGACACATTAGTTTTCGCACTCTAACTTTAGTTTAAGTGAATGGATCTCTATGAAATTTTACCATAAGGTTCAATACCACAAAAGAAAGGTTGGGATTGATTTTGGGGGTTATGGTACCAACAGTTAAGGAATTAGGGGCCAAAAATAAGCATTTTTGTAACTTCCAGACATCGCTTGTGTGTTAGTGTATGGATCTCTCTGACATTGTACCACAAGGTTCCATATCACAAAGGGAATGCTGGGATTGATATTGGGGATAATTGCCTCCAAATTTTAGGAATTAGGGGCCAAAAAAGGGGCAAAAAACAAGCATTTTTCTAGTTTCATGACAATAACTTGTGTGTAAGTGTATGGATCTTTATGAAATTGTACTACAAGGTTCCATATCACAAAGGGAAAGTTGGAATTGAGTTTGGGGGTAATTGCCTAAAACGTTTAGGAAAAAGTTTCCTTTGTCCATGATTATAGTTGAATCAACTACAATCAATGCTTTATACAATGCAATGTTTAATTTTGCCTTCCACTGATAAAACACAGATCAAGTTGAATTTGGGTAGTGTCACTTTAACCATTATTGAGTGATGCCCCTTTATAAATCGAAAAATTGCAAAATTTTTAGTTTCCGTTCTGTTACTCAAGTTAAGTTTGCCCCAACCAAACATGAAACCTATACACAATACTTATTACCACAAAACTAAGATAAAGTACAAATTTGAGTAGCGTCACTTTTATTGTCCCTTTATAATGTATGCAAGCAGGGGCATCATCTGTGTCGATGGGGACACATTCTCCATTTATTTTGTATAATCCGCCAACACATTTTTTAAATATCCTGTATACAAAAATAATAATTGTTAATTGAATAAAACAACCTCTCAACTACAAAAGGCAATGAAAGAATTAAATAGGCATCCGATATTTTTTAAAACCAATAAAATTTGTTCAGCAGAATCTGCTACCCATAGAGATGAAATGAATCCGTATGCTTGAAGTAAGATTAGCATATGTTGATACTATATTATCATACATGAAATTGAATATTATGTCCAGAACAATGCAAGACATAGAAGCGATACAAAAGAAAGTTATGATAAATCCGAATTTTATTCAGAATGCACCAATAAGAAACCGTAGTTTTTCTTCAATTTATTTACCTAAAACTATTATATCAGCTGCAAAATTATTATTATATGTACGCCTACATTGCACTACACAATGGAAATTAACAATGTATATTTATATAAACGATCAAACTTGTTAATTATAAATAAACAAAAGTTTCAACTACCTCATAAAAAATTGACATTGAATAAATTTTGCTATTGTTTAAGTCCTTTTTGTTTATTTAGCTCATCAACTGTTTCGGTTCTTATACATCCTTGGCTTTCAAATACTCTGTTTTGGGCGTTTCTGGTAAAGGTAAATCCAGAAAAGCGCTTCGGGCGCATAACATTTATAGTGTTGTTTTCATTTTTTCTAGGTCTTGGTTAGTTTAATAAAATTAATCTAGCCTCTTGGAATATACCTACTGTAGATAAGTACTTTTGGAAACAAGGACATTCCATAACATAAATGATGTGGCAGCTAAGAGATCGATTAGAGACGACAGTTGTTTACCGATGTTAAAATCTTATAAATCCAATAAGAAGATACACATGAAGGTAAAAACAGAAAATGAAGAAACTGCATGAACTCTAAAAGGAACGAAACGGGTTTCGTAGACTGGATAAGTGTCTCCTCGTATGCATGTGTCACCCGTCATGCGAATCCACTCTCAGTTTTAATGTCACTATCAGAAATGGAACACAATCGGTAACTTTACAGATCAGACGACCATTCTAAAATTTAGAATGAAAATAAGGAATGTGTCAAAAAGACAACAACCCGACTAAAGAGGAGAAAACAGCCCAAGGCCACCAATGGGTCTTCAACACAGCGAGAAAATCCCGTACCCTGAGGCGGGATTCAGCTGGCCCCTAAATAAAAAAATGTGTACTAGTTCAGTAAAAATGGACATCACGCTATACTCCGAAACATACAAATGAACTAGAATTAAAAAAACATACAAGACTAACAAAGGCCAGAGGCTCCTGACTTGGAACAGGCGTAAAAATGCGGCGGGGTTAAACATGTTTTGTGAGATCTCAACCCAAGTCAATACAGATATAATTTCAGCAAAAGTAGTTTGCTGAGTTTTAAAATAGAAGAAACAAATCAAGGTAAATAAAAATTGAACATCAAAGATTGCGAAAACATGTCGTGTGATACCAGATAATATATGATCCGAATTTATTTTAATGGTCCATGAAGTATTTTGTTTTGGTCTGTTAACTTTATATTGAAACCTTCATTTCAAATTTAGCTATTTAACCGAAATCTGTGTACCTTCAGGTTTTGACATAAAAGTAGAAAAGATCTATTGGTAACCTTTACAATAAAAACTGTGAAAAAGAAAAGTTAAGTTATGATAAACAATACAGTTTTCTATTTTCTTATTTATTGCTTTCATAATGTTGGAGTAGTTTTTGTATTTAGATCTGGTGAACACATATCATTTTCAATTTTATCATGAAATTGTTGTTTCATTGTATCATCTTTAAAATTGAAAGCATCTTATTTCGAATTGTGTGCGAGTTCAGAGTGAAAATGACGTATGTATATTTAGAAGTTCGATTCAGATCATCAGCTTTTATTACAAGACTACGGCAACAAAACTATTGCGTATAAATCCGACAACTGCGATAGAAAAATTAACATTCACAGAAATTATGTTTTGTACAATATTTATTAAAAAGTAAGTCGTGATTTAATAAAAAAAGCAACAAAAATGAGTGTCGTCTTTGGTTTCTAAAGTCTTCAAAAAAAGTCTACCATTAAAGCTGAAAAGGAAACACAATTCTAATAAATTTTTGGAATGTTTATATATATATATATATATATTCATCTATTATCTTTACATTTGCGATCAATCTAGACTTCCATATCAGCCCAATTTCTCAATTGATATCACTGAACCACCAAACTACCTAGCAAACTGTTCTGTGTCACTTTAATATGTTTAGAAAACAATTTGACGCAGGATTGAACTAACTATTTTTCTCAGTCTTAATACATTATACATGATGAAACGTGGATTTATTCTTGATCATACTTCAAAAATCTTTAGTTTAGATCAGAAGCCTCTGTTGTCTAAACTCCTTCCTATTATTTTTTCTATTAGCTCTTTTGTCCTGACGTTTTTTCTTCTTTTCCATTAATCTTTCATGCAAATCACATGAATATTCAAATGACCTATTTTCACATGAATCGTCGTCATCTATTGTTGGTATGTATGATTTTGTAACCATGTTCGTTGTAGGATCACATTCGCTGAAGGTAACATCAAAGCTGCATCCGACTGAAAACAAATACGTCAATATACTCCTATGTTCATAAAATACAATACAAAACTATACAAAGGGGTTCTTCAAGGCCTGGCTTTGAATGTATCGGTACTTATCCGTGTATGCAACGGAACCGTAAATCAATAAAGAAAGGGTTGCTGATTAAGATTCATTCTGAAACCTTTTTTCGAATTCAGTATATGAAGTAATTCTTTTCATGAATGATAACAACGTGGAAAATCAATAAACAGGGATACCCTTTAAGCTATAAAGGTAAAATTCATACTAATTTAATAAAATTGAAAATCATTCTATTTACTTGAACAAATAACCAGACATGACTTAAACATCAGTTTTAAAACTACTATGTGATTAAGAGCTTGACATATTGTATAGACATCTGTCCATTGTTAAAGACTGTGTGTTGATCTGTTGACGTATCTTGTTCGTTAAATCGCATTGAAGTACATTGTATATTCTTTAAAATTAACCTTTCAATCATTAGCATATACATTTTGTAATCGGGGAATCCACTTATGCTTTTGTCAATGAGAGCTTGATTGTTACTGAAAGCTTCTTTTTTTTAAATTTTAATTTTGTTATGTTGTTGTTTACTTGTTTGGTTCTGTTCACGTATTTACTTACGTCTACGCTGTTCCTTGACTATCTTTTTATTATCTTTCCAAATATTTTTCTGTTCTCTAATTAACATTTTATTCTCCTTCTTTTCATTTTTGCGCTCCATTTTTTTTGCTTTCCACTGTTGAATACGCTCAAACTTTGTACATGAAATGGTGACAATTATTGTTGGTTCGCATTCTTCTTCTTCTCCGTCCTTTAATGTCAGAACTCGGTTTACTGTGTTTGTTGTATTATCACAATCACTCCAGTTTTCCTTGTCGTATTTGCATTCTATAATAAATTGTGATGAGAATAAATTAAAGGAATTAACATATTTTACAAAGAAGTCTGAATATCAATGTTTGACCATAACAGTATATTTGTGTTAAAAAACAACAACAAATCTAAAAAACAAGCAAAACCCTCATTAAAACTTGCAACCCCCTTCCAAAAATTAAGTGATTTCCATGCGCACATCAAGTGTCTTGAAATAACTTTCATCTAGTACGCTCCTGACAATTCGAATATGACATTTCTAAGTGCATTTTAACCGTAATTATTTGTATGATTAAAAAGTTGGTAGCAGACCATCTAAGATTGGTAATACCGAATAAACAACAATAGTGAATTGAATTTAGAAACAATACATACTAAGTCTTTGTTCTTTTACAAGCTTTCTTTTTTCTTTTCTCTCTTGCTTCATTTGCAATTTTTCATTCTTTCTTTTCTGTTTACGGTCCACTTTCTTTGCTTTCCATGCCTGTATTCTGTTAAGTTTATCACAAGTTATGGTGATAGTGTGTGTTTGTTCACAACCCTGTTCGCCTTCACTCAAAGTAAAATTTCGGGTTACTGTATTTGTTGCTATATCGCACTCACTCCAGTCACTGTGGTCATACCGGCATCCTTTATAAACAGAATGATCGCAATTACAAATTAAGTAATCACTTGTATTGACTACATGCATGGCCCAATTCGTATTCAAACCAAACAAAGCATTCATTCATTTACAAAAAAAAGTACTGATATCTTAGGTTCCCGATTGCTCTCATACATCCCTCTCTCTCACAATGTTTAGTTTTGAGTGAGCATCCATGATAAATGTAGATCCAGAAAATCCAAAATATTTTTTTTCTTTACCTATATACTGATCAACGGGAGACAAATCCTTTTATCAAACAAAATTTATTTATACAATAGACAAGGGTATCGTGATAGTAAATATGATTGATTGTTGTTTGTTTATCAGCCAGTGGCAAATGTTTCATTCATTTTCAGGACAAGACAAGAAGAAAATAACTTTTATTCAGTAAGTAGAAGATTCTGCAAAGTGGGTCTACCGAAATGAAGAGCGAGATTATTTTATAAAACACGAAATTGAGATTGCTATAGTGACAAAACAAAGTCGGTGTCCCTATTTTTACCTCATATTTTGTTCCCAAATTAATGGAAAACCTTGCCACCAGTTTAAAGAACAAAATCACACTTAGAATTGAATAGGTTGTTCCTACTTCAAGTAGAAACTGATGGTATGTGGTTGAATAACGAAGTTTTGTTTAATACATACAGATAAAGATAATTATAAAGATAAAAAATAGTTCAATTATATTTATGATATCAGAGAATCGTTTTAAACTTCAGAGGGATAGTTAGAAGAATAAATTTACTATTACTTATGTTATTTGATAGACAGTTATATATTTCTAAAAAGCTTCAATCAAGTAGAAATTAGATTTTTCAAAGATAAGAGGACTCGTAAGAAAATTGTAGTCAATTTTATTAATTACACATTTTAAAAATATATTCCACATGTGTCTATATAATACTTACGTTTAACGAAATGAATAAAAAAGCTCAGTTCATTAGGAAGCGATTTTTTTAAGTGACCATAAATTGCATCAGAAACGCCAGATTTTTTCTATAAGTAACAATATTGTTTGTGTAAGATAAAATATAATATTTCCATATATTTACTTACTTTTAAGTTGCATTTTTACAAGCTGTTTATTCTCTTTCATCTCTTGTTTTTGTTCTTTTCTTTGTTGTTTCTTTTCCTGCCATTCTCTTCTACTTTCCGCCTTTTTTACTTTCCATGCTTGTAGTCTTTCAAACCTATCACATGTTATAGTTTGGTTCTGTGTCTCTTGGCATCCTTCCTCGCCGGATTTTAGAGTCAAAACTCGGCTGACGGTATGTGTTGCTGTGTCACAGTCACTCCATGCACTTTTATCATATTTGCATCCTGAAAAGTTGTTTTGTTCATTTTTATGGTTTCAAATAAAAATTATAAGTAAATAATTACTAATATTTTGACACATATTATATTCAATGTTTAACCTTTATGATAACTCAAACAAGATCTTTAATATATCAGGGAAAAAACGGATATAACATACATTTAACTACATATCTTCTTTGTTTGGCCTTAAATGAGTTCTTATTGGAGTTTTTCGGTACTGACATAATGTATAACCTACTTTTCTTAAATTTTCCGTTAATAAATTTCGAAACTATTACGAAACAAATATCCCAAATCCCTCCAGCAACGGTGACTTAAGATACAATAAACCATTTTTTGTATTCCCCATTTTGGTCATACTCTGTATTCGTATTTTATAAGCCTTTGGATTGAGCGTTAATACTGAAAAGCGCCCCGGACTCTCCAAACTTATGAAGTGTGTTATTTTAATTGTTCATTTGTAAAATCAAATCAGAATATTTTCTTTATTGATAGTATTTTATTTTATATATTTTTAAGGTCAGCTGGTTTTGATATTAAATTATTTGTCAAATTGTAATGAAAGACAGTCTTGTTTGAACTGACCATCTTGTGCACAATGTAGTAATTTCGGTAATTAAAATGCTTGTTAAACTTATAGAAATGCTATTTATAGTAAATTTGAATACTTGTTAAACTAGTTGAAATGCTTGTTAAACTAATAGAAATGCCACTTATAGTAATTTGAATACTTGTTAAACTTATCAAAATGGTTGTTAAAGTAGTTGAAAATCTAATGCTAACTAAACTAATTAAAATGCTTGTTCAACTTTAGACTTACGTTGTCGCTGTCGAAGTTTCCATCCCTTTTTAGCAGCGACTGTAGCTACCAGGACAGCCACCAAAAGAACAAACACGTTTTTCATGTTGTAGCGTATATACTAGTATTGAAGACCAAAGAAAACTGGAGTGACCTTAGCTGATGTTTGCGACTTTATATACATATTAGTAACCACAAAACTCTTGACACACTTATGGAGCTACATCATCTGATCACAATTGTAATTCTTAGTCAACTAATCCCTAGACAAATTAATTGGGAAGGCTAAGGACAAACGCATCCCATAAGGGTTAATATGAAGAAAAGATAAATAAATCAAACTCATTAGTACAATTTCTGGTTAGCAATAACCACGTCACTTCAATTGATGTCAGATGTTGTCCATTTCGTGTTATAATCTTTCCGACAATAATAACAAAAGTTCATAATATGGGATTATATGTCAAAAAGACACTTTTGTTACAAGTGTGTCACCTGTATATTTTTATGATTCACAACAGTTATTTCATTTCTGACATATTTTCAAGGGTCAATATTTACAAACAAAGCGTAACTGCTGTAGGAAAGTGTAAAAAATGTACTAAGATTACTAATGAAGTATGCAATTGGGTGTTGGTTTAATAGGTTTTCGTTTTTATGTATATTTCACTTGACATCAATTTTGAATATACATGATTAAAAAAGAAAATTGAAACAAGACTAAAATAAATGATTTCAAATAATCAACTAAAATAAAGACAAATTATAGGCTATAATTGTCCTCAGTAAGAAAATGAATCTAAATTTTTAGGATAACAGAAATTCAAATTCATTAACGGACAAACATTAAGCAATTTTAATCAATAAGTTTTCGACAGTTTCGACGAATATTACCAAACGACGTAAATCGCATAACGTACAGATGTATATACAGAAATTATTTAGATATCAAATGATAAATTTTGTAACAATATACATTTATATTCCGATTTATGCATATATGTAACTATTTTTGCATAATTTAAGCCTTTTGATTTCCGTTATATGCATAAAACGAGTTATGTGTTTACAGAAATAATTTTTAAGCATAATTGAATATTTTTGAATATGATTTCGCTCCATATGTCTTCCATGACCTTTTTGTTATATTTTTATCATTATAGAATTGTTATATGATTTGGTAAATTATGTTGAAAAATATCCTTCTTAACCACAATTAGTATTTTTTTGGTACTAAGAAAAGAAAAATTAAATAGTGTCTTGCAGAAAAAAGTTTACTTAATTCATTTGTATTAAGACATCCTGTGTCCCTAATATATCAAAACATGTAAACTTCGTTAAAACGTACACAAATCGGTTTCAACAGTGCTATGTAGTCCTAAATATTACTTTGATTCTATGAAAACAAGTGACCTGGCAAAATATAACTATATTCAACTCAGATGTCCGCTTACGGTATTGAGAATATTGTGTCGGGAACCCAGACTATCGAAATATGTAGAATCGTTTTCTGCTTTTGTGGGTTAAACAAACACAGGGGTAATTTGCCTTTTTTTTCTTTCTTTTTTTTTATCAGATTAGAAGTACTTTGCAATTTTAGTGTGTTTAGATACAGACAAGGTTGGCTGTTAAAACAGATCAATCATGCCAAATTTGTGAAATCAAAGGGATCAATAAATCAAAGTCAATTTATAGGATTGTGCAAAATTATAATTTAGAAAATGATCTTATCGATTTACGGGCATTCTGTTTTCCTAGACTCTATTCCATTGGCCCCTTGTCGCTCTCGGTAATTACAAATACATCCAAACATTTTTTTAGAATGGATGATTGACAGTTTGTTTCCGTCTGCAACTGTGAGAGAAAATGTATACTTTAACTGCATGAACTCGCGTTAGAACTTCAACCACCCCACCGTTTGCCCACAGTGCAAGTGCGAGGTGGTATACCGTGATGAAATAAAATTGAGAATGGAAATGGGGAATGTGTCAAAGAGACAACAACCCGACCACAGAACAGACAACAGCAGAAGGCCACCAACAGGTCTTCAATGCATGAATTCTCTCCATATGTCTTCCATGTAATCAAACGTGTACTGGAAGTTTAATAGTAAAAACTTATTTTTACAGAACAAATTAAATACACCAAATCTTTGAACAACTATTAAGGTTAAAGTTTAGTAAATAAATGAGAACGCAGGGAAAATGTAGAAAAGAAATATCATGACTCTATCAATTCTCTTATTCGTCATGTGCTGCACTTGCTCTGTATTGATTGTTTATCAATGTTACGATCCGGTAAACTTCGACAGCAAACACAAAAGATAATTAGCTTGCGATCAACAATCACTGAATGAAATATTATATGTTATATATTCGTAGTAAATTTTAAAAAAAAATGCATACAGAACTTAGTTTAGTATTTATGCATGCATTGTTTCAATACTTTCGATATCATTATAATTAAAATAAACTCATTTCATATGACTTTAAATTAAACATGTGTATTATATGAAATAATGGGGGAATTTCCGATGGGTAAAACCCGTTTGACCTAATAGAAATCTTCTATCTACTATTTTTTTCATGATTTCATTATTCTATGCATGCAAATTAACATACATGTTTTTTTCTTGTTCTTGTCGAATATTAAGTCGTTTCTATTGGATCCGATTCAGTTGTGTTTGTGAAAATATTTACTTTTTTTGTTTTTTTGTTTCCTTTTCTATCAGGAACTCATACCTTACTGTATTGCCAATTGGAAGCTATACCGACAATGTACTACTTTAGATCTACCTTGTCGGCTGTTGAATTGTGTTTTAAGAGTGACGATTTCTCATAGGTGTCAACTCTCCAGATATCAGCAATAATAAACTAGAAATGAATATTTTTACCAAAAAAAAAAAAAAAAAAAAAAAATCCTCTTTAAATACCACTTCTGATAGAGAGTTGAAATCTTCCACTTTAGAGAAAACAATCTCCTTATATTACCCCTTTCGTCATGACTTCATTATTATCATTTGTTTTCCAATGAAAATGAGAAATTAATGTCTAACCTTTGTTTATTACAAAATACAGTGACCAAGCTACATGACATGTTGTTTTCATTTCATTGTTGTTATGGAAATTTTGCAGACATTTAACATTTTAAGTGTAAAAAGCAATTCAAACTATGAATAACTACTTAAAAAAGGTTCTACGGTTAAACTATCTATTTTAAAAATTCCCACTGAAGAACCCCCCACCACTTTGAAGGTTTTATAATTTCACACCTATTATCGTGATATCATGTCGTTCTATCGTGGTAACATATTATAGTATTTTTTTTAAAAAAAATTTTCATGCGAAATTATGAATACGCGAATGCATTTCCTTTTATCTTCAATAGAACTCTTTAAGTAAATTTTTGGTTGATTTATTTTATTTAATGTTGTGAATCTTTAGTCAACAAAATGTGAAAATGTTAGGAAATGATTAATTGACACATGAACCCATATATTGAACTTAGATGATGATGTGGTCGGAAATGTAGAACATGACAAATAAGAAGTCTTTGGGAATGTAGGGTAGGGCTTATTTTAAGATAATCTGTTAAGTATCTTGGTCGTATGATTGTTAATTCTATACGGAAGCCCATTTAGGACCTTCCAAAAATGCAATATGTCAATTAATTTGTCTGAATGTTTGATTTTTCGCTTTTTGAGGATATTCATTGAAAAAAAACATTCATAACAGAAAAATATTATAGCTCCGAAATAAGCACCCGTTTGATATTCCTAAAATTTGCCGATGTAAAACGTTTGCTGTGACCATGTCCAGTATATTAATACTTCCATATCTGACGAACAAATCCTAAATAAAGGCAACAGTAGTATACCACTGTTCGAAAGTCATAAATCGATCGAGACCAAAATAAAACCGGGTTACAAACTAAAACCGAGAGAAACACATCAATTATAAGAGGAAAATAACGAAACAACAGAAACACTGAAGTGAACAAAAAACAAACGTCAATGCAACACACACAGAAACGAACTATAAGATAACAACTGCTATTTTCCTGACTTGGTACAGGACATTTTAAGAAAAAAAAAATGGTGGGTTGAACCTGGTTTTGTGGCTAGCTAAACCTCGCACTTTTATGGCAATGTTAAAGGGGCACTAGCTGTCAAATTCATGTTCACCGATTTGACTCAAATTCTCATATTTGATTTATAATAATGTAAAACATTTATCCAAATTATTAAAAGTCTAAAATAAACAGTTAACAGGACATGGGCATGATAACACGTAGCTTCGTTTCGTGTGTATTTTAGTCTAGATGCCATCTAATTAACTATTGAGTTGACCTCCAAAGTCATCCGATGACCATATAAGCGATGTAACCATAAATAAAGATATAACTTAAAAGCGAACTCGTGCTATTGGATTTTTCTAGGTCTGTTTAATTTCATATTATAGATTAAAAATATATGTTTATCATCGTTTTTACCTGTATAAGAATGATTTTCTTTGTGGATCGGATCAGGCAATCAAATGATTTACCTTTGTTTCACTTCCAATGTTGACATTCTTTTCCTTTAAATAACTTTACACATACAATTCACGTGTTATCCATCTCTAGCTAAGGGGTTAAATTGAAGTTCACATGAATACGGATTCAATGAGGTCGAATTATTCACTTGCAAGTGAATGATTCATCATCAATGTTTCTTAGCTTATTTTGACAAAATTGAACCATACTGGCGGCTTATTTCACTATTTCACTTTCATTAATGATTGAACAAAAAAAAATCATAAATTAGATTTTTTATATATCTCGTAGCTAGTGCCCCTTCAAATATAACACTAAAATGACACCATTACATGACAGGAATACAGTCTGCTCATTGAAGTATTATATTGATAATATAAAACCTCCATGTTCTGCCCAAGCACAACAGCAACACTTGTTTTACATATTGTACTACTGTCTTGTTTACATGTTACTCTATCACTAAATTATCTTAATTGGACTATGCTTAGTATTGTACAAATTTGACTCAGCAGAGCTATAGAAAACTGCACATTAACGGGTGTTACACGGACACTTTTCATGAAGTTACACGGACACTTTTTATGAATAGAGTCACTCGTGCATTCAGTGGGTTCATAGGCACTTTGTCGT